GGTTTTTTCTTGGTTAAACAGTTTTACTATTACTTCTCTAATTACACCATTTGTTGCTTTACCATGCGACATTTTGGAGCCAATTGATAATCGAATTAATTCTCAAGTTAAAATGTCAAAATAAAAACACTTTTTTTTGTTTCCATGGCTTGCTATTATTTGTTTTACTAACGTGTCCGAACATTTATGTGTTTTTATCAACATTAGTTTAGTTTTATTAATCAATATTAGTTTATTTGAAAACAATTTTAAAAATATGATGTAAACAATACATATTATGTCTTATAAATGAAAAACATATGATATTGAATCCCTTAAGGAAATTTTCAAACTTTTTCGCAAAATCAGTTGATGTCCGAACATTTTTGTGTTAGGGCTCGTATTATGTTCGATAGCCAGACAGTTATTACTTAGATCTCGGGACATATCGAGGTAAAGGGTAACGAGATTGCATATAGTCTCGCAAGAAAAGGGCTCAAACACCGTTTGTGGGACCTAAGCTGTTCTACTGTATCAGCAGTAACACAATATTAGGAGAGATTAAAAAAGAATTGGGACCAAGACCGGTTAAGATGCTTCTGGGTAAATATAACCAGAGGAGATCGAAATCTTGTATCTGCCTGAGCAAGAACAGGATACGTATTGTAACAGGTATCTTTTCTGGGCATTGACGACTCAAAGGACACCTTAGTAAACTAAGAGTAGTAGAAGATAATGAGAAGAAGGAAACCCACAATCACATTCTGACTAAATATGTAGCACTCCAGGATTCAAGTGCACTATACCTAGGAGCATCTCAAATAGGTGAGGGAGATTTACCTAACTAGAAGCCACTCCAAATCCTACACTTCTTTGAGAAGATAGAATTGGAAGGGTTGTTATAATCATCGAGAATTTTACTTTCTGCATTATCAACACAATGGAGCTTTAAGCTGGATAATCCATTTCTAACATAACATGTGCCACGTTATTAACACATCCAAGGATGTAGGAGGTAGCAGTAATCCCTTTTCCCTAGTTGGCTCTTAAAATTTAATGATTCGGAGAGCGGGGGAAGTTAATAAAAGTATAACTAACTGTGATTTGATATAATCTCGTTTAGCTTATGCACAATTTACTCTGGGGTTTATAATTCCCTGAAAATGGTTATGGCCGCCCTTTTAGTACTAGAAGGTGCTCAGGTGAGTTTACATATTTAATTTTTCAAGTTTATCCGCTATAGTTTATATTATTTTTAACCGACTTCAAAAAAGGAGGAGATTATCAATTCGTCGCGATATTTTTTTTTTTTTTTTATGTATGTTCAGCGATTATTCTTTAACACGGTGTCCGATTTCAATGATTATTTTTTTGTTAGAAAGGGGGTATTTCAGGGGTGGTCCCATATAAATTTAGTCAAAATCTAATAATTGTGTCCATGAGAAAATCCTCAAACTCTTCATTTTTTATGTATGTTCAGCGATAATTTTTTAACACGGTGTCCGATTTCAATAATTCTTTTTTTGTTAGAAAGGGGATACTTTAGGGGTGGTCCCATATAAATTTGGTCAAAATCTAATAATTGGATCCATGAGAAAATCCTCAAACTCTTCATTTTTTATGTATGTTTAGCGATAATGCTTTACCACCTTGTCCGATTTATACGATTCTTTTTTTGTTAGTAAGAAAGTACCTCAGGGGTGGCCCCATATAAATTTGGTTAAGATGTGGTGATGGCATCTGCACGTTTTTGAAGTCGGTTTTTTTAAATTTTTAATTTGTAATACTTGTAGGAATTAGTTAAAGCTAGCTACTACTTTCAAATCTGGTGAAACAGAAAAAGGTAGTCCTTACTTGTTGCTGAGAAGTTATAAATCTTACTGCAATTAAACTGATAATCGTTCAGGATGCGGTAATATCAAAGGGCTGCAAACGAATCGCAGCTATATAAATCGAGATTTCAATGCGTGTCGCTAACGTATGTGTTGTAGGTAATATCAGTCCAACAAAAGACCCACTGAGTTATTAGATAAATAATTATTTAGTAGATAATTAAAGTAAATGATAAATAAAGGCCTAAAATAAAATTACTAGTATGTGATTTTTAGGAAAGTATGGAGAGGTCGAATTTACCACAAATGTTAGGGGCCTTTCTTTTACAAGGAACAAAATCCACAATATGTGATTCCACTTAAATGAAACGTTTCTTATAAGAGTTAAGATGATGGTTTACTTAATGGCTAGTTAAATCCGTAAATTTGAAAACTTAATTTTGGGTGGTTCAGAAAGAAGCCATTTTCATTAACAAGTCAAATATGAGAACACAAAAAAAGTATCATAAAAAGTGGTTAATGGTCAATCCATGTCCAGGTAAGATGTATTTAAATTGTCCTGGTTGTTGTACCTTTATGGAATTTTAATTAATTTAATGTATTTGAAAAAGAGGAGAATTGTCAACAGATTGACTTTGATATAACAAATATAAACAAATCATTAGGAATCCTAATAAAAATTTTAACTAAATTAATAATAATATATCTCTAATATTATATTTAAATAGGGTAAACATTTATATTTTTAACGATAATTTGTTGGACCAACATTTTACTCATCTTAATATATGTTAAATCGATTTATATTTTGTTTTTAGGATTACAACTGAAGTTATTAAGTAACTACCTAGAGACGAAGAGGACAAATTAAAGTTTGTAACTAAATCTATTTGTAAGTTTTATATTCCTAATTGATAGTATTATAATTATTGTTTACACTTTTTAGGTTTTAGCTACGCAGATGTACCGAAAACTGTTATTAATATTGTAATATATCGTATTCGATAAATAAATACGTATAGAATAGAATAGAATAGAATTTATTCACTACGTTGTATACAAACAGTACATTTGTAGCAAGTCACAAATAAATAAAATATGTTCCAAGAACAATAAAAAATAAAGGTTTCTAAATATTGCACAGTTACAAATATTTTACAGTAACAAATAATAATATTACAACTAACATAACTTAAAATATATATGTATTATTTTTATTTTTAAAATTTTTAAAATAGTCTGTATATTCACTGACTGAATAAAAGCACATTTTAAGAAGAAATCGCTTTAATTTTCCTTTAAATTGGGAAAAGTTTAAATATTTTAAATTTGATGGTAAAATATTATATAAGTTAAGGTTCAGTGAATTTTTCTGGGATTTAGATAATCGAAATTTTTGTTTCCTTAGATTCCCAGCTTGTCTGGTATTATAATGGTGAACATCAGATTGCTTTAGTAGATTTGCACTGTTTTTGTGAATTTCAAGAACTGTATTTAAAATAAACAGTGATGGTAATGACATAATTACAAATTTTTTGAAGAGTGGTTAACAGTGCTCACGGTACCCAACATTCGCTAGGATTCTTATGGCTTTCTTTTGCATACGAAATAATTTCATTGCCTCTGATGAATTACCCCAAAGAATAATTCCGTAACCTATCTGGGAATGAAACAATGAAAAATATACCATTTTTAAACATTGAAAATTGGTAATTAAGGCCAAACGCCGAAGCAAAAACAACAAACTAGATAATCTTTTAGCAATCATATCGATATGGCAGGTCCATGATAGATTACTATCAAGTTTTACACCTAACAATTTGACACTGTCAAGTTCCGATGATGAACTACCAGATCCAAAATTAAGGTTTTGAGTTTTTGTATCATTTAGCATAAGTTGATTGGCACAGAACCATTTTTTTGACAATTCAATACTGCCCTTAGTAGCATTTAATAAACAAGATTGATCTTTTCCAGTTGAGATAAAGGTCGTATCGTCGGCAAATAGAATAGTTTTGCAAGGGTTCATATATTTAATTAGATCATTGACGTATATAATGAACAGTAGAGGCCCAAGGACAGAACCTTGTGGTACTCCATGTGTGATCATTTTAAACTTAGATGAGGTATTATTAAAATATACAGCCTGCGATCTATTTTTCAGATAAGATGAAATGAGTGACAGGGGTACACCTCTAATTCCATAATAATGTAGTTTTTTCAGCAGAATGTTGTGAGAGACACAGTCAAAGGCCTTCGAGAGATCACATAGCGTAATTGCAGTGTATTCACCTCTTTCTAGGCCCTCAACTATGCCACTAACAACATTAAGAACCAAGATGTCCTTATCTTTTTATGGTAAACTATTACTAAGGTAAAATGTGCATATAACACATGTATGTTCTGTCTAGATGTGATGTTTATGTTATACCCTCTTATTGCTTTGTATCTTTTATATTAAAAATTAAAAGATTAACGAATTAAATTTAAAAAATAACACACTTGAAAATACATTTCATCGTTATTTTTTAAATAAAATTAGTGTTGTCAACATAAATATAATTTTTCAAAAGTAAAATTAAATTAAAAACACTTTTTCAATATTTGACATTTTTAGGATAAAAAAATGTGTAGTAGATAAAAATATATGGAATATATATCTCAACGGAGTCCGGATCTGTTCCACTTCCAACTGCACTTCGGATATACTGTATTTGTCAATATTTGCAATAGATAGTTAAAGGTAAATTAAAATCGTTGTTATATAACATGCATTGGATTTCTCTCGAGATTAATTTATAATTAAACCATATTTACAAATATAAAAATAAATGTTGCACTTTTGCAAGTATTTTCTCCACAGCTGATGATATTACGTTGCATTTATTAAATATTATATACGTTTGTAATTTGTATTGCAAATTGTGATAATTAATTTAGCAAGTATTGTTTTTAGCAAATAGTAATGATTTTGTTTCAAAATAACATTAATTTTAAAATTATTAATTAAGATTTATGGTTCTAGCAATGATTATGTGGGTTATGGATTATGAGGGTAGACTGTCATTAAAATTCCACTAGTACTGGAGTTATAGGCTTTCCCTATCAATCGCAAATAGTGCTTAAACTACATAACAATGAAGACATTGTATTTTAGTATCAATACTTCTTAATAATTTTTAAACATACCTGGGAAAAATTTGACTAAAAACCATGTTTCGACAGGAGTCAAGCTGTGATGATACATGTGCAGGAATGTCACTTGGCTGTTCTTTTTCCTCAGAACGAAAAATAGCGTATCCGCAAATTCCGTGAGTTTAGAAATGTAGTACCACCAGCAAAGATTCGCCATCTGGAAAAAAGAAATGGTTAATTACCATTTTTTTTAATTAAATAAAACCAGAAAGAAGACTGTAAATTGTATGTATACATTTCATTACCTGGAAAGAATAATAAAATATAGTTTTTAATCTTACATAAGTCATATAATGTTATAATAGAACAAATAGAAGAGCCGAAAGTTGTAAGTACGATTCATATATTTGCCGACGGTTCTATAACAAAACAAGGCTCGGGATGTAAAATATACTCCAGATCCTTAAACCTAAACATAAAATGGTCAATAAGCAATAATACCAGTGTAGTTCAAACCGAGCTCACAAGGAATCTCATAGTAGTAAAAATGTTACCAGGAACAATATTACTGGTAGAAATATGCTTGTCTATATAGATAGCAAACTAGCATTACTCACCCTGAACCGACCAGGAATTTACTCAGGGTTAGTAGTAAGAGCTTTGGATAAATATCCATCAACAATGTGGTCACCTTAATATGGATCAAAGGTAATAAAGGTATATCGAGAAGTAACCATCTTGCTGATTTACTAACCAAGAAGGCAACCAACCAAATTCTTTTTGAATCTGGTCCTTGTATTAGACTGACGACATCGGTAGTGACACATCTAATTAAAGAACATTGCCTTATTTTGACAACACTACAGCAAACAACTACAGGGAGTCTGCATCTGATCACAAGCATTCTGACTGGTCATTGACAAGTACGGAAACATCTTCGCAGCATGGAGCTGTCAGAATCAGCACTCTGTAGAGGATACGAACAAAAAGATGAGACCATGGAACCATATCGTCTACGATTGCATAACGCTCTTATTTATTAGAAGATTTGTGCTCAGCAAGAATTAGCTAACCCCGGCTGATATAACAGAAGCATCTCTTGGCGACGTTGTCAACTACATCAAATCTGTAGACTGGCTCACGAGCTAAGAGGTGCCTATCATCTTAGGAGGATGCATATTGGGCCTAGTCAGGGCGTCAGGGCCGTGAAGTAACCCATCCTCCACACGTTACAGATGCAGATATTATGTTTCTTGATATTTTTTATAAGACAGTTTTGGTTCCTGAACTTAAATTTAAAGAAAACAGGCAACTGTGAAGGCTAAAATAACCGGCAAATGGGAACTATATAGAACCATATGCACCTGTTACAACATAGCCTTACGAAAAGTCAAGAGAGAGACTTGGAGAAGGCACTGTGAGGAGATAGCAGGCACTTAAGAATGTGCCAGGCTCCAAAAGATTCTCTTAAAAGACACACAACACACAATTAACACCCTTAAAAATGAACTGGTGGAGTACACAATCACAGGGAAGGAAACAGTAAGGGAACTCTTCAGGGTTCACTTCCCTGATACACAAACCATAGTAGAGATGTGTTGCGATTTCGCTGTCAGCGATTTTGTCGCCGCTACTTTCCTGTCGCTGGAGCGAACCGCTCCGGTTCTTTCAAAATCACTGCGACTTTTTGGAGCTGGGTTTGATTTAGGCACGTTTTCATTCAGGCACTAATAATAAAAATAAATGTCGCATCGCATATTTATCTGATGTGAACTGGAACTGCGATCGGAATGAAAACTATTATATTATATGCTTCTAATCGCAGTCGCTGAAATTTGTATAAAACAAATAGGACATCTACAATAGGGCGGCGCAAAAAAAACGACTATTTTTTTTGAGTCTTGTGCGAAAATATGGTAAAAGATCCCCTCCAAAAGGCAGTTAAAAAAATTTTTTATGGGTCGCTTAAAATTTTAAAATTAGCCAAAATTGGATTGTTTTTTCAAATTTTTTTGCTCATGACGGTAGAATTTTGTGCCCTAAAAAGAAAAAATCTCAAATTTTTAGCTCAAAATATTAAATTGAAATTAATTCTTGATATTAAAATTTAAAGGTCGCTCGAAAACATCAGAAGCAATAATTTTGTATATAAAAAAAAATCTTGAGCGACCTCTAAAAAATATTTTTTGAGCTGCTCTTTGGAGACTCAAAAAAATAGTCTGTTTTTTGCGCCACCTTAATCTACAATACTTAAAAATGTATCTTGGCGGCAATAAGTAATCGACTGTTTTTTAATCTTCAAACTTTATTTTATAAAAATAAAATTTATTATTATCTTTTTAAAAAAATATTGCACAAAAGAGCATAGATTGTCAAAAAAATTACGGTCATTAAAACTGCTTCAAAGAAAATGCAACCATTTAAAAAAATAGCAGCTATTTCTTACGTGAGGACGTGACACAGGTCACAACTCGCGATCTAGTTAACCGCTCCGAAAAGTCGCTGCGATTTGTCACTGCGACTTTTTCGGAGCAGTCGCTGTTTGGCGGAGCGA